GTTTGCAATCAAATTGCCCAGCTCAGCGAACAAGCCAACGACCACCAGTCTTTGTTCTGTTCTAGTAGAGGCTTCGCCTTAACTGAAGGTGAATTGATGCACGGCGTGTGAGACAGGCTGATTCTAAGCGGTTTGAGGATGGCCGAGTTTGAGTTTTACATGCATTTTTCGGAGACAGAACACACGTCTGCAGAACGTCGCACGAGCCGTTCCATCACTAAGCTAACAGGACGTCCATTCTTTGCAGTTCTTTATGCGCCTGACAATTTTGGACAGCAATCATCCGATTGGGACATCAATAAATTGGTGTGAAAGATCCAGCAACTCTGTTCGTAGTCATCCCCTCTTTATTTTTCTCACGTTAAGGCTTTAAATCTAATTAAATTAACTGCATGGTTATACGGCAGGGAAGTATCAGCGTCAACATAGATGTCGTCTATGGTGATGATGATGATGATGATGATGATGATGACCGTGAATTATCTCGTTTGGTCTGTTTCATTCGTGAAAAACGGATGAACACTAAGTGAATCCTTTTCTCCTTGCGGCCCGTTCTCCGGATGTATAGCTATCCTGGTGCTTGCAAACCTGGTTGTTTTCGAGCTCATCTTAAAAGCTCCGATACCTAAAAGATACCTTCATGACCCTCCAAGATTGCTCTTTTTAACAACTACAGAAACCTTCGCGCTCTGGTGAATCTATTAACATTTCATTCTCTTTCAGATTCGGGACAGCGAACTGGTAGAAATTGATCAGCTTTTAAGATCATGTCTACCGGCCTTTCGGAACAATACACTCAGGCGCGCTTGTTGGGATACTTACGGCTCCGATCCTACTTTACTTTGTCCACTTGTCACCCCGGCCAATTGTTTGCGGTCCCCGCTAATTCCACTGATTCTTGCCACCAGTTTACCAGATACGGCCGATTGGATGTGGCGAACCACTTTGCTCCAGCTTCCAATACGACGAGCTGACAGTCTGTCACTGTTTTTGGCCCTAGAAGCAGCGTACCGAAGCGGAAACCTGACTTCCGACCTCTCTGTCCCAGTATACATTCAAGTACGTCTTACATTCTTTAAGATCGAATTACCACTGCTCTTGGAGGATACCGAGGGTGAATCTGCGTTTCCTCATCTCCTATCGCTGCTTGCTAAGGACCTGACCCTTTGCTCTTCCCTTTTGTTGTCAGTTTGTGTGCCAGTAATAGATCATGTATATAATCCACTGGGGTAGCCCATCACAAGAGAACCTCACCTAGAGGTTCATCGGATGTCGGCAAAGGGGGATCGCAACCCAGGTCATGGTGGATGGAGAAAGCTTGTGTGGATTCTACAGGAGAGTATCCTCTTCTCAGAGGATTCCATCCTGGGGCTACTCTGCTGACACTCAGTGGTCTCAGCTGCTACAGTCCTCCTTTTACTGACCTTAGAGAGGTAGTGTATTGAAAGCGCTAGCTTATGTTCGTAATAGACGATTATTTGTGGGTGCAAGTGCTCAGTGTTGTAGAAGTGGTTGTCGTTGATAGGTACGCGCTGAAGATAGAGCCGTCAATTAGTCTTCCAGTCGTTTGAATCGGTGTTTCATCGTGCACTGATCACATTCATTATCATTTAACTTCTCGCTTTTCTGGTTCATAGTTCCTCATTGTCGCATTAAGCACTGCTGAATAGGTAGTATCACAAAACCTCAACAAGGCATAATAGCTTCGGGCAGCAGCGTTGTTACCTTACTGAATGTTAGGTTCTTCTCCCTGTGACGAAATTTGTTGTTTGTTGAACTCCCATAATAAGGCTAAGTGACTGACAACAGTCTGTGTGCTGAGTTAGCCAAAGCTATACAATCATCCAACACGATAGCACACAGGTCACTTTTCATAAGTGACAACATCACGGCTGACTGGTGGGCATTGGCAGAGTGAACAAAACTCGTTGATCGAATAAGCCACTCTATTTCTGCACCTCGCCCCGCAGATAATGAAACTTCCGTGTGTGGTAACATTGACTCGAAATCTGCAGTTACACTCATGGCTGTCAAAAACGTGAGGCAGGTAAATCATCCTTTCCATCACCGTCTTCAGCTTTGAAAAATCGTGAAATTGTTGTACAATGATTGTGGCTGCCATATTTTCGTTCACCGATCATCTGGACGGGGGGTAGCGGTAGATGGCTACACACTTGAGGTGGCAGCTGATATAATTAATGTGTAAGTAGAAACAATTCAGTGAAATTTTGACTAAGGAGATCGGAAAAGGAAGCTTTACTTATTTTGATACATGCGCGCCATTGGTCTATGTCTTACAACCATGGACAACCATGTCTCCAACCATTGATTTACCCCATTTCGGGGTCCTAATCCAGGGAGACGGAAATGAGTTTTCTGGTAATTACCTTCATACTTGGGTGCGCACCACAACACTATAAATTCGATCCTTGATTTCACGCCTGTGCCACAAATGGTGCAGGCTCACAAAAGCTGCTTTGGCCTTTCCCATCCGAATGGAAATATTGTCTTTGACTAGACCCACTGATAAAGCTGCTCAGGTAGACAGCTTGTCTCCGAACTCACTCGGCTCATTCACAGGCGTGAGGTTAGTATTCGGCCCCATCCAGTCTTACACCAGCTCTCTACACTTTGTAGGTGTGAAGCGCATGCCAAACCGTGATGCAGCTATGTTTGGATTACTTAACGTCGCCTGCATTATGATGGCGTTAGATCCAAAAAGAGCCAAATCTGTGAGCAAATCTTCTCAGTTCAGTTCAGTTTTTCAGTTTACAAACTGTGCAGTAGATTAAGCGAAATGTTACTATGTTTACTGTTGATTGGCAGTGAAACGTATGAGGCACATTAGTCGGATGGCTGACAGTTGAATGACCCAGCATCGTTTGCTCATATGGTGGGAAGGGCTTGGGAAGAGAACGTCGGTGGGCAAAATCTGCTGGTAAATGATAGTTTCCGGTTGCTCAGGCCGGGGCAGTGTTCAGTTGATATACCCCACCTTGAGCCTTGGATTTAAAAGTCTGGCCTAAAAGGCAGTGAGTAGTAGGGTTTTGCTTAGGAACCCTGCCCGGAGCCGATGACTTTTGGTCTCACCTGCTCGTCCAAATGGGGCTGGTCTAACTTGGGGGCGCAGGGTGTTAGAAATTACTGTTTGACTACTAACGCGGCTGCGCGCAGCAAGTTCCTATTGAGCACCATCAGACTTTGGTTTTAAAAGTGTGTCGACCATATTGGATAATGTGCTGGAAGTCACGGTCAACTGCTAGGCAATAGGGGTTTGAGGATTCTAGGGCCGTCCTTCATCGGGGGGAAATAGCATCGCTGCTCCCATGAATATAGGCATATTGGTCGCCTGGGGGAAACACCTCACTACCTTCACACTCCAATCGCAGATCGCAGTACATCTTCACCTCTAGACCAACTCGTAATACGGGGCTTTGCTGCTCTTGGTCTGCCTGCTCCCCTTCGGGGTTCGTGGCATGGCTGCACCTTGTTGAACAAAGTTACAGCCAGTGTGGTCCACAGGATCACTGCAGCTCAGAAGCCCGACCACCACTTCAAGGTGGCAGCTTGAAGTTGGGGAGACAGCTTCTTACTACTGATAAACTGACTCACACGTAAGGAACTGCACTCGAAGGGGGGTTGAGTTCAATTTTTTTCGTTTTCTCTTGTATAATACAATATGGTTTCATATTTCCTAAAAAGACACATGGAGCAAATCTGACTGCTCTGGGTGCGTCTTAGGGTTACGCCTCCTCCTTGTAGTAATGATGTGAGCAAGGGGGTTAACTGGACGTCGGCCGTTCGTGAGGAAATTAGCGGTTGTGGGGAAACACCAGTGGTTCGGTCTGCATGCGATGGGTTCTGGACTGATTGACTCTTAATAGAATGCCGCGTGTGCCCAGTAACGTTATTGTGTCAAGGTCGATGCAACTGACCTCCAAATCTATTCACTAACCAGGAAGGTGCAGAGCTAAAGGGGATTAAAAAAGGCTCCTTTGAGTTGGATTCGTCGAAGCATCGTCCGACCGTTTTACATGATGACCTAATCACCTATCAATTACGTCCTCATCTATACTTTCCCTGGCGATACTCTGTCCTGGGCGATGAACACAGACACTGTTTCTACATCCGATCTTATCAGATAAATGTAACATCTAAAATGTTGACTCTGTCCAACTGATATATGGTACATGTGATACATCCCGGCGAATTACCCGTGAAGCGGTTGTGTTGGGATCTGTGGAAGTGATCACTCAGATTTCGCTTTGCAGACTAATCGAAAAATTTTATGTAATATGGAAGAAGTGTGGGTAGGTCTGTAAGTTCTCGGGCTAAATAGGGAATCGAGTTCCGCACCGCACCCTCAGAACACTGACAAGAAAATTAGTACGGGTTTCAGATTCTTGGTCTTGTTTTGCACTCTTACAGCTTTAATGGGAGCAGCACATTGACCAAATACGGAAGCTAGTAGTATGATATTCATTATTCTAGCATATTCATTTACATTTCAAGCATATATATCGAGAATATCCACGACTGCTTATTATTCTGTGATATATCACTCCGACAGAGGGTATCACCATTAGTACGATTTCACATAGATTCACTGTCCAGTATCTCCCTAGATGGCTGGCTCATTCTAACCCCCTACCCATCCCATTACTCTACAGGGCATGTATCTTCATGCCTACAACGAACTGGTTTCGGAAACGATTTTCCGTGATACGTTCTGGCTGGTGATCGGTCTCGGCTCGCTATTGTTCTTGCTGGCTCTGGGCACTGGAACAGTGGTGATCCCGACTATAACGCTCATAGGAATCGGCTGGTCCCTCCTGGCTGCTTATGGGCTATATAGCCGTGTGCTCTGTGTCCCTCACTTCCCCGTACTCAATCTCATGGCTGTCGTGTTGGCTATCGGACTGGGAGCTGATGACCTACTGGTCTATTTTCAGGTTGGTTTCACTAGCTCCTGTTTGATTCTCATACAACAGAACGATTTCTTTGGTTCGTTCATTTTTTTTATTGGATCGTCTTTGGTCACAAAAGTTATTCACACATGTTCTTGTAGTAATGGACAGGGTCTCCGGTGGCTCCATGGTTGGAGCCCGACTTTACTGACCGGAAGGTCCGTGGTTCGAACCCGACCACTGTATCTCGACTTCCTATGTTTAGGCTTGGGCAACCTGGCAGTATCCCAGCCCTCATGTTCCTTCTTGCAGCATGGCAGTTAGGCACCAACAGAGCGCTACAGCTGAACGAATCTCAACCCATTACTGAACGGCAGTGAGTTCCAGTCGGAAGTGGACTTTTTTTGCTGCTGATGTTGGAAAAATCCGGTCGATTCATGCTAACTTCAATACAACATCATTGCGACTTTAACATTTTCCCGTTCTATTTACCTACACAAACTACCTTACCCGACTCGAAAACAGTGTGCCCTAACCAGTACAAAGAAACGTGGAATAACAGGCAATGTTAGTCTTTCAATATCTTGTACACAGTGTGGCGATAAAAGCACTGTGAAAACCTCCGGAATCTGTACAAAATCAACGGTGAAGTTTGCAAATTGGAATGTTAACAGTAAAACACCAGAGCTTCACCATCGCAGCAGTGCTCAATGTCTTCCAATAAATGCAAATGGCCGCTCTCACTCCCTCTCACTAATTAGGTCTGTGTGACTTAGCGATAAGTATACAGTCCGGACTATATTTAGTTCATGCCTTGGATTTCTCCGTGTGAAGAAAACTGAAACCCCTTTTAGAGCAAAGTCCATGCACGAGAGAACGGTTCTGGTCAGTCGAGATCGCTCAGGTGAGCAACGTTTTCTACATATAGCATACCTAGGAGTTCTACCGGAATTCTCCGCAACGTTCTTGTGTTATCGTGGCAATGTTCATCGCAAAATCAACTGTCTGTCTAATCTATAATCAGTTACTCTTTTTTAGGGGCGAGATGGCCCAAGTGGTTGGAGAATGTTCATCAATCAACTGTCTGTCTAATCTATAATCAGTTACTCTTTTTTAGGGGCGAGATGGCCCAAGTGGTTGGAGCGCGAATTTACTTACTGGAAGGTTCGTGGTTCGAACCCGACCTCTGTCTCTCGACTTCCCCTGTCTATGCTTGGGCAACCTAGCAGTATCCCAGCCCTCGTGCAACCTTCGGGTGGTATGGTAGTTAGGCACTGGAAGAGTGCTACAGGTGAACGACTTTTTTTACTCTTTTTTAGTTACTGATTTCTCTATGAATTCGCCTTAGTATTAGTAGATTGCAGTCTGTGAGGTTGATTGCAATA